GCATTGATTTAGCTGTGCCAAAATAGAGCACTACTACAAATTAGAGATGTTAAAATGTGCCTAATTAAATTTCAGTGGTTACACACCAGGGAGGGGTAGAGATGACAGCAGTGGGGATCAGCTGACTTCTCGGGAGCCAGGTTGGTCAGCTTTCAGACGGGATCCCCATGTATACCGGGAGCCTGTGTGTAACCGTGACCATTAACTAATCAGTTAACCGTGTATACAGTTACACCTTCACATTCTTACTCCAAATTTTTCCATTTTATCTCTTTTTTTTTTTTTTTTTTGGTAAGGTTTATTGAGAAGCAATTCTATTCCAGGTTCATCCTATTTTTCTGGCTCATCTTGGTTCAGTCTCTTCAACATTCGCTGAGTTATGTCAATTTTCAGGACTGTACTTGATTTGGTGGTTGTATCTCTTTTCTGTTTGGTTTTATGAGAAGCAATGCCTTTCTAGGCGCATCCTAATTTCCTGGCACAACCAAACCCTGATGTTGCTTTAAGCTATCATAAGAGACAGCTGTATACCAAATCTGATGGTCCTAGCCTTAGCTCTTACTGTTCAGGAGCAGTTCTTGAACAAACAGACAAACTCTCTAAGATATATAGTAGACTAGTTGAATGCCATCAAAGTCAGATACAGGTTGAACCTCTGCCGTCTGGGACTCTCTGATCTGGCAACATACATGATCTGGCAGGAGCTTGCAAGGCTGGCAGGGATGCCACACCTGGGATCTGGGGACAGTGGTGCCAGATGGCTAGGGAGGGGAGTCCAGCGGGGAGGCTGGCAACCCTCCCAAGACCTCCCTTGTTCCAGCAAACTCCCTAGTCCAGGACCAGTCTGGTCCCAAAGGTGCCGGACCAGGGAGGTCCAATGTGTAGCAGCATACTGTAATGAGACACTATTCTATCTGAAAAAGAATTTCTTAGATAGTTAAGACCATTCAGAAACCAAGACAGTTAAAAATATCTGGCATATTTGACTAGAGAGTCAAGAGACATTTTAAAGAAACATAGTCAACTTAAAAAACTTCATATAGTACATTACCATAACTAAAAGATTAAAAATGCTTTTTTTTAAAAGCATTTGATGTATTTGGCAGCACTTTTCCTTCCTCCGGTTTTTCTCTTCCATTGTATAGTCAGCTGTTTCCCCCTGTTTGAGTCTTCTCCACCCCTGTAGAGGGAAAAAGAAACAGTCCTAAAATTATGGTAAAACCACAAAATTGGCAGGAGGATTCAGATGTTGATGCAGTAAAGCAATGCTTTTAAACTAATTTATTTTAAAAACTAACATGACATCATGTTGAGCAATGTCTCTTATTCTCCAGGTCACTGGTTCCAATTAACCATTAGTCTCAGACCAATTGTCAGAGATGTAGAAATAAAAGGTAAATATTAGATCTTTGTTCCAGCTCATCATCTTCCAAATGCAAAATTGTTTCCTCCCATGGACTTTCTAGTATTGCTCAATCTAGTTTTTATTGTTTCGATAATTCTTCTAGTTCATTTGGAAGCCTGTTGAACAGCCCATTACAATATTGCCAACCCAAAGCGTTCAAAAACTTTGAGTCGGGTCCCCCAAATTAATGAAATTAATTATTGTATACAAATATATACTACTGGATTCATTTTATTTTTTTCTGGTTTTTGAACCTTTCAGACACACTAGGGAAACACTTCCAAGAATTTGGCCTATAACCATGAAGTCTTACAAACTTTTTTTTAACTAGAAGCTGAGATTTTTTTCATAAAACAGGAGCTTGAGCTTTAAGAACAACAAATGTCATGAGGCTTACAATAAAATTGCAACAGTTGTTAACTGACTTTCAGAAACTTCAGTTCTTGAACCTAATCTTTGTTCTCTTGCAGCACATTAAATAATTCCTATTTTTAGTATTGGCCCATTTTAAGATACATTCTAGACTGTTAAGCTTCTTCCTTCCTCCTTCCCTTTCCGTGATTATCCTACTGTAGACAAGTATCTTCCCTCTGTGCTGTATATACTCTAATAAGCTGTGTCTCATGTTGTTAAGAAGCTACTCCTGTAGCTAATGATAGTTCCCAGGGTGAGTAGGCATAGTTGTAGACAGCTATCTAGAAAGAAGTTTATAGCTGCCCATCATAGGTGCTATAACCACCTCTGAGCTCCAAATTGCTCAGGGTTCTCAAAGGCCAGCCCTTGGCAGGACCACAAATATTTCACACATAATGTCAGTGCAAAAGTTGACAAGCTGTTGGTCATTTTACACTGGTTGTCAAGGTTATCCTAACTAGGAAGTCTAGATACTGACCTGTCCTTAACGTAAGCGCTTATGATTGCTTAATATAAGCATTTTAGGTCATAGAGGGTTAATACTTAAAAATCTGTTAATTTAAATTTTATTTTATTGCCCAGTTGGAGGTCCTTCCAGGGAAAGTCTGGGAGAGACACAGTAGTTTAAATAAAATGAACTTAGACCCTTGATCAGATCCAATATTGCATATCATTTGGCATCCCCTTTTATTATACCCCAAAGTTCCCTAGTCTAATCATTAATATTCAGATGTGATTAATCAGAGCTACATACACTCAGTTTGTCCTTTTTTTTTATTTTTGTTTTATGGATCACCGCAGCCTGTTGCCTGTAGAATATTTTCCTTTTACCAATTCTTTCTCCTTGCTGTCAGAGGAAAACTCTGGAAGGCTCCATCTCTTTGTATGACCACTCCATGATTTCTCAAAAAGCATAGATTACATGTCTGAAGCTTTTGAGTAGAAGGTGAAAGTGAGGTGGGCAGGCTGAAAACAAAGACCAGTCACAATCCAAATTTAAGGCTAAAGAGCCCTCAGACCTTGAACGTTGTTTCAAAGTGAAGGCTGAGGGTAGGATTTTCATAGGTGTTCCAGGGAGCTAGATGCCCAGCTTCCACTGAAATTCTATCAGGACATTTACTGAAGGTTCCATTCAGGGCTGACTAGAGTCTTTGCCAGCCCCTGGGGGGAATCGGCTCTGGGCCCCTCAGAAAGAGTGGGGCTTCAGTCAGAAGGGGTGAGGTGGCGGGCTAGCCTTCCCTAGCCTGTTCTTCTGAGCTGCATGATGCTGGCAATGATTTAAAGGGCCTAGAGTTCTGGCTGCTGCTGCTGCTGTCAAGGCGATGGCAGCAGTGGCTAGGAGCCCCAGACTCCAGAGCAGCTATTCTCCCTCCTCTCCCCTCCCCTCTTCCCCACGTTTGGTAGCCCTGGTCCTAGTTCAGCAGCATACTTAAACATGCTGAAGTCCTATTGAAGTTGTGGGTGCTTGCTTTGCTGTATCAGCGTCTAAGAGCAGAACTTTTCTGAAGAGTTGTACGGCTAATCTCCAAGGCAATATAGCCTTGGTCACAGCCTGAAGTCCAATGTACTGGTGTCCTTGTCTAGCACAGTAGTATTGCTCTTTTAGGATGAGATTTTAAAAAGAAGCTGCAGGGGGTAGATGTTCAACTTGACTTAATTTGGGACTTGTGCTATCTTCTAGGTAAATGGTAAAAAACTTAAGGGCATGAGTAGTCCCACTGACTTCAGTGAGAGTGTGCATGTCCTTGAGTGCCTTAGGCTACGTCTACACTGCAACGCTGTTTCAGGATACCACAGTATCGTGAAATAGCTATCCCATGTCTTAACAGCAAGCTCGTATTTTGGGCTCAATATTCCAACGTCCTTGTAAACCCCATCCATGAGGAGTAAGGGACGTTTTGGATTAGCAAGTTATTCAGAATCTGGCGCTGTATAGACAGCGCCAAATTACGAAATAAGCTATTTTGAAATAAGATTGAAATAAGTTACACAATTTTCATAGCTCAGATTGTGTATCTTTTTTCTAACTATAGTGCTGTGTAGACGTAACCTTACTGAAGTGAGGCTTAACTGCAGAAAACTTGCTTTTCTGGAATCTGTCTTAGCCCACTTCTATTCAGTAAACACCTTTTATGTATATATTTTATTAAGTCTAAGTGGAAAGATAATTACTACATTCTAGACAAGAAGTTGATTTCTTATAACTGTTCTACTAGAAGACTTTTCCCATCTCAGTCTTGAAATAGCGATTATAGGAAAACTTTACTTTGTGCTCCATGGGACGAGTGGCCAGTGTCATAAATCATGAGGACCTGTTAGTATGTTGTGCTTGATTTGACAAGGGCATTGTAAGGATTTTTTTTTCTTTTAAACTGGATCATTAGAAATGACCCTCATAAACAAGAATTAAAACATAGTTTTTCTCACTTTATTGTAGTCTCCTTTGTAAGAAATACTTGCCTATGCAGGTATTAGGAATATACTGCTGTGTGTTACATATCACCTGTGCAGTTTTCTTTTAATTATTTTGTTTCCACATGGGACATCAAGAAAAGACAAAAGAGCATGCAAACTGTACTGTAGATTGAGACTTAGAATTTTCTCGTGTACACACACAGTCTTTCTGTTCAGGTAAGAGTCTTGGGATATGTTCATCCTATAAAGAGTGTTGTTTGGCTGGAGACGGGTCCCGTGTTATCAGCAAGCACGTGGAGATTATCTTTGATTGCCATGGTATTTTTTCACTGTGTTCTCTTCCTGCCACAACTCATACCCTCTCTGTTATCTCTCTCCAGCTTTTAGAGCTTTCTGTGAGTAGCAGCCTGTACCTCAGCTTCTGCTGCCTACTTTAGAGGCAGGGATTACATTGGCACTTCCCCTCTTATATTGGCCGCAGAGTCCGATCAGGGTTATAAAGCAAGTCTGCCAAGTATTGGTAATAACGACAAGGGAGATTTTTATGATGAATTGCAGACTGGCACACACAAATTAATCCGCTTCTTTCAAAACACAGATATACTTAGTTTTGGAAGTTGTCTAATTTCTTATTTCCATTCCAAATTAACCACTTCTTTAGGTTTAAAGTATTATCTTGGGTTTTAGTACAATTTTTCCACGGTTAACATTCCTGCAGACTTATTGCAATTCTTGATCAAACTAATGACTTTCCCTTTCTTTTTAGGGTGTCAAGCCAGCAAGTTTTGAGAAAGTTACAGATCCTGAAATTAAGGAGATAATTGGGGAGTGCATTTGCAAAAATAAAGAAGAAAGGTTTGTTTCAAAGTTTTGTCTGAAAATTCATTTTTATATTTAGATGTATTAAATATATCTCTGGGTGGCCATTATATAAAAGAAAGCACACAAACCTGTACACCATATGAAGGATACAAGACTGCTTCTATCACAAGCAACAAAGATCATGATAATAAAATTGGCCAGACCTTCCCTCCCCTTTATAGATAAAGGTCAGAAATGACCATTCTGATTTCTTCTGACCATCTAAGAAGAAGTCTTAGAAGTCATTCCACAGTTCCTGCTATGAGCACAGTCATTCAGGGTGGAACTAAAGGATTGTCTTGCTTTAAATGCTTTTTGTGATGGTGAATCCACCATACACCTTGATAAGTTATTCCAGTGATTGACTCACTGTTTAAAAATCAACCAAACAAATGACAACTTCTTTGAATTTGTCTAGCTTCAGGTTCCAGTCTCTGGTCAGAATAGGTGCTCATAGTGGTCCCTTCTGGCCTTGCTCTCCACCATGACTCCAGGGCCCCCCGGGAGAACACAAGCAGGTTTCAGAGGGCCCACCAAACTGGGTCAGTGTTAGACTCACTGGGGCCCAGGACAGACAACTGAAGCCACACTGCTTGGGACAGAAGCCCAGAGCCCTGAGTCCTTCCCCCTGGGACTGAAGCCAAAGTCGAGACAATTTAACTTCTGTGGGAGCTTCTGGTGGCCTTTGTAGCATGGTAACTCCTGCTGTAGACCGAAATTGTGTCCCTGATAAGGGGCCTCCTCTCACCTGCGTCATATTGAACTCCAGACTTGTAAGTAGTCTGGGGAAGGGACTGCATTTCTGTTTCCCTCTGCACTTTGGAGCACTTGGTACATAAATGAATAATGCTGAAACTCTGCCAAATAGCAAATGTCCAATTCCCAAGGATTCCTAAAAATACTAGACATACAGCTTCTGCCTACTAAGAATACAAATATCTTATGGATTCATGTTGACAGTGTTGTTTTTGTTGTTAACTTGGCCTTTAGAGGGCTTTTCTATTTATGTTAATAAATACTTAATTGAAAGTGTTTAAATTATGCAGTATTTGAGATTCTTTTTGGACATCATCTGTTCCAGATATGAAATTAAAGACTTATTAAGCCATGCCTTTTTTGCTGAAGATACTGGGGTAAGAGTGGAACTTGCAGAAGAAGACCATGGTAGGAAATCCTCTATTGCCTTAAGACTCTGGGTAGAAGATCCTAAGAAACTGAAAGGAAAACCCAAAGATAATGGAGCCATTGAGTTTACTTTTGATCTGGAGAAGGAAACTCCTGATGATGTTGCACAAGAAATGGTAAAATAAACTTCTCCTGACAAAAATATGTATATAAGTAGTACGTAAATCTCAAAGGACAGCAGGAGCAAATCTGGTAAAGTAAATTCTACTCAAAAGGATCAGGCTGTCTAATTTAAATAGGATGACTCTTGTTTATGAATGAATGGTGGAAAAATAACTAAAGTTGTAAAGAGGAAAACTAATAATCTGGAAAGTGTGTTGTTTAATTCCAGGAACAGGCCAAAACAACAACAAACTATGTAACCCAGTTCTGTCAATTATATGTCTTCAGAAATTATTGGGAACTTGCTTAAATCAAGGATGATTTCAGACTGCAACTGAGTTGGAAGAGTTAAAAATTCTAACCAAAAATTACATTTTTCACAAACACTTGTTCCATACTTTCAAAAAGCTCTTCTGGTATTGAAAAATAAGGAAGATAAGAAAAAGTCTATAAAGAGGCATTGAGCTTATAAAATTAAGCAAGTAGCTGATATAGTACAAAGAGCGATGGTAGAGGAGAATTTTAATAATATATCTAACTTAATGAGTTTTTTATATTTTCCTTTGTAACCTGTTCTGGTGTTTGTGTTTTAGAAAAAATTATCTTCTAATATCTCAATGTAATTCTTAGAGTAATATTTTAGGTATTCTGGGCTGTACTTCAATGCAATTGAGTTTGATGGAAAAAAGTTTATTTTTAGATTAGATTGATGAGACCAAGAAAGTCACTAACAAGTGTGGTGTGAAGTTATACCAGTTAATTAGACACTCATGAGGAAAAACCAAGTATTACGTGGTTGTCTGTTGGCCAAGATATGGTCTAAAGCTGCAAAGGGGAAAACAATCTTAAATTAATAATAAATATATTTCATAATAGTATCTTAAAGCTAAAGCAACTTTTTTCTTAGAGAAAAACATGGAAATAATTAAAGTATGAGCTCTTTCTCATTTTGTAACTGGGTCAGTGGACCAGATGATGAAACACATTTGTGTAATGATTCATAAAAAAAGGATGAACAAAAAAATCTCATCTGGACTCTGAATTGCTTTACTTTTTTCCCAGGGGAATTTATTTAGTGACAGTATTACCATCGCTCCTGTTCTTCTGAGAAGGCAACCATTTTCATAATGTAAAATAGCTTTCCCTTCTATCCATAACTTAGCATTCCACTATACATTGAAGGAAGAAGATTGGCTTGTTCTAGCTTTCTAACTCTGACATGAAATTGATAGGTGTATTGCTTGAAATGTTACCTGAACCTCCACATTCTGGGTGTCCCTGATCCAGGAACACCCATGGTTCAGACCGTGGTGGGGAGAGGGGAAGGGAAGCAGCTCTGCATGCTGCCACCCCCTTCTCCCCTAGCTAGAGGAATAGCAGCACAATGCTGGTCTGGAGGTTTTCCCCTCACTGCTCCCATGTGATGCTGGGGGGTTAGGGCACAGAGCTATCTGTTCTCCTGGGTAAATGCCCCACCTGAACCTCCTCACTCACCCTCCTCCTCTCTTAGTCCCCACCCCAGTGCCCTCCCTGGTCCAAAAAAATCCTTAATCCAGCATACTGTATTGCCCAGGGTTGCCGGATAAAAGAGGTTCATGTGTATATTGTGACACAACTTACCTTATTAAAATTTGCCCTATGGTAGTTGCCATGAGAAAATTGTTGAGATTTCAAGTTCTGCAATTTGCTTATATTATCTATGCTAAATTTCTTTGAAGAGGGAAGGGGCGTTTATCTTCTCCTAAGCTATTTAAAAAAGCAACATGTATTCCTGAAGTAAGTGACTTTTTGACAATTCTGACTTGTTGGTAAATGCAGAAACCCTATGCTTTCCCAATGTGTGTTGCTGTAGATCAGGGGTTGGCAATAATTTTGGGCTGGGCTGGCCAGAAGGGGTGGGGCCAGGATGCTTCTGGGCTACCCCACTCCTAGACCATGATTGGTCTAGGGGTGGGGGAGCCCCTTTGCCCCCACTAGGCACCCATGCCCCTGGCAAGGTGGGAAGAGGCTTCCCACGCTCCTCCCGCTCCCAAGGCAATCAGGCCTTGGGGGTGGGGGAGTGCGTGACGTCTCCTCCTGCCCTGCGAGGAGCGCGTAGCACTTTGAAGTGCCACATGCTCCTCGCAGGGCGGAAGGAAGTTCCGTGCACTCCCCTGCCCCCCAGACCCTAATTTGCCTGAGGGCAGGGGAGTGGCAGGGCCTCTGTGGGCTGGATCAACCCACTTGGCAGGCCAGATCCAGCCTGCGGAGGCCCTTTTGCCCAGCCCTGCTGTAGATTCATGGTGTCCAACACACTAGTCACATGTGGCTATTTGGCCGGCTGAGTGTGGCTAGTTCGCTATAGCAGTAGATGCTTGTGGAGAAGATAGTGTTAGGCTCATGAAATTTGATAGTTGGGCTCACCAATGGGGAGGGTGGGGGGAGTCAAAGGGGGCATTTGTCCTCGGACCCAGTGATTCAAAGGGACCTGGGGATCTGGCTGCCACTGCAGCTGACCTCAGCCTTTCCCCTTCCGCCCTTGATCCTGCCTCCTCTGGGAATATGGAACTGCCCACCTAGTCCAGGGATCTGGTATAGCTGTCAGCTCCCCTGATAATAGTTAAATCTTCAAAACTCATGAAGTAACAAACCCATTTAAAGTATCTGTGTAGACAAAGAAGGAAAGAACTGAAATAAGGTACATTCACAAGGTGGACTGACAGCCTGTGGTTACATTTTACAAGTGGTGGCTTTGAAAGAAATCCTGTCTTTATTATAAGTTTAGCATTCTTTGGACGGAAGTGTGAAGTACGAATGAATATAATTTTAGAACTTGTTAACATGACAGATTTTCAGTTCTTTTCCCGTCTGGTCTTGAATAAAAGAATCGACTTTCAATTTTTGCTATAGAAGGCTCTGTGAGCCTGTGATTCATCACCTGAGGGGTTTTTTAATTAGCTCCCCCAAAGCTTCTATTTTCACCATAAGGTTTTTACAAGTAGCTCTTTCTACTTCCCTAATCCAGTATGGGCTGGGAAACCGTCAGAATGTCTGCAACTGCCTAACTGCACAGAGCCTGTCTGCAGCTATCCTGCATGCTTTGTGCCTTTTTTTCAAACAAGCAGCAAAAAAGTAAATCTCTAGTGGTTTTGTGGTTGGGTGGGCGGGAAAAGGAATACGTCCAGTGTGCCTTTCTGAGGTTACATGCCTCTGCTCCTGTGAAGAACACTTGAAAGTTCTTGCAATGCTACTGGGGCTGGGTCTATACTAGACCCAGCAGGTCAGCTAAAGGTACACAACTCCAGCTACATAGCCGAGTTGGCACTGTTTCCAACAGGTGATTGATTGGGAGCAAATGCTCCTGTTGGCTTCCCTTACTCCTCACGAATCAAGGAGTACCAGCGCCAATCGGGGCATCCGCATCTTTACTAGACCACTAAATCAAATGCCAGAAGATAGATATCTGGTGCAGCAAGTGGAGATGTGGCCTAGGTCCTTCCTAGAAGGACAGGGAGAGCAGTCATTATTCTTAAATGCTTCAGTGCCAAACATTTAACTCAAAACTGTATTGAATTCTAGATTCTGAGAGGAACAAATAATTCATGTTATTTCAAATGTATCCTTTCTTTGCTATGAAGAGCTGCAGATTAAAATATACATGTATGTGCACTCAGTAAATTTATATGCCTTCTCTGCAGGTTGAATCTGGATTTTTTCATGAAAATGATGTCAAGATAGTTGCAAAGTCAATACGCGACAGAGTAGCATTAATACAGTGGAGAAGAGAGAGAATTTGGCCTATAATACAATCAGAGGACCGTCAAGTTTCTGAATGCTTGGAGAAACTGAAAGTACCACAAGCACAACAGGTTCAAGTAACGTACCTTTCCCACACTGGTCAACAAACTTTGTCAGAGATAGAGGAGCCAGAAGCTGACCAGCATTTATTTCAGCATAACCTCCCCACCAGCGTCACATCTGTTGCATGTAAGTCTCATGTTTGCATTACTTCTTGTGTGAGCAGGTATGATGCTCCTGGTATAAAATGATTAAATCCACAACCCATCAGTGCTTTGAATTAAACATTTGGAGTATTGCACATATTTTTGCACACTGGAGAAAAATGTCTAAATTCTAGAACACCAGAAATAAAGTTTAAATTCTGAATACTAGAAGTACTCTAAGTTTGAAAGAGAACGTCTACAGAACCTCCTTTACCTAATGACTAACATTACAGATGTATGGTGAATAAACATATGAAGGATTAAGGTATATTAATAAATCAGCCCTCAAATGCAGGTGCTGCCCCTGCACCTCCCATTGGCCGTGGTTCTTGAACAATAGGAGCTGCGGGGCTGTCACTTGGGGTGGGAGCAGCATAGAAGCTTAGATATACCGAGAAGCTGGATGTGCCAGCCACTGCAGGGAGCCTGCTTTAGCCCCACTGCCCTTCCAGCTGCACTTTTGGCAGCCTGGTCAGCAGTACTAACACATCCATTCCTTTTTGACTAGGCGTTCTGGTCAAAAACTAGACACCTGGCCACACTAGTTCAAAACATATATACATATAATATATAGTTTATAATAATGTCTAGTTTTACACATAATATAAAAAATTTTAGTCACTGCATTTTTCTCATGATAATGAAATTTTTATATAGTCTAGTAACTATTTTCATGGTTATCCTTAATGTAAGCAGGGGAATGGTCCTGCTATTGTGGGGAACTTTCCTGGCTTCTATATTACCCCGGTGAAATGGACCAGCGAACGGATCTGAGTCCCTGCTCCCACTTCTTTTACCCAAAGGCCTCCCTGATCCTGAGGGCTCCCCTTCCACTCTCCTGAGTAGCAGAGTCCTCAAAATCCCAACAAGGCTGGGCCCAGGTTTTCTGGGGCTTAATCCCCAACCTTGTAGTCACTTGGGGCAGGGGCTAGGGTGTCCCCACTCCGGGGTGCTCTCTTCACACTGGATGCTTTCTTGACCCAGTGATCATTTCATACAGTTCAAAGCAAATACAATGTATTAAACACCAACCGATGAAAAAGAAAAGAATAAGGAAAACCAAGAAAAGTTAAATGAGAACACATAGCCCCGCTCTGCAGCATGGGGATATCACAAACAGCAGTCTGCAGAGTGTAAGGACAGTTCACAGTCTGTTCCTTATGGGTCCCAGGGCTCTTTCTCAGGCCCTGGCTGTGCTGCAGGGAGGCTGCAGGTTGGACACGTTTGCTCTGCCAATGACCACATGACCTCAGGCTCTAGGTGGAAGGACCCCTCTCCCAGTTGGAGTTACAATCCCTCTCCAAGTCTGGCCTGCAGGGCCTCTTGGCTGGTGGCGTGTCCCTGCCCAGAGCCTCTTTTCCCCATTTTGTTGGTCCCAGCTGCTCACTACACCCAGCTGCAGACTGTGCTGCTTTGCCAGACTCCAGCTCCTTGTGTTGCTTCTCTGACCCCTTTGGCTCTCTGGTCACTGCAGGTCTGCTGTTCAGCACAGGGTCTGCTCTCCTTGGGCTGTGTGTGTGGCTCTGTCGCTGCAGGTCTGCCCCTCAGCGCAGCTTGCACTCCTTGGGCTGTGTGTGCCTGGCTCTGACACTGCAGGTCTTTCTCTCCACACAGCTTGCTTTTACTGCTGCTCTTCTCAGCTCTCTCCCCTTTTCTCACAGAGACCCAGAAAATCCCAGCTTACAATGGAGGACAGGACCTGGCCTTCTAATTCTCTCATTGATCTGTCCAACCTGTCAATCAGGCTGAGCTGGAGTGTTGGCCTCTTACCATTGACCCTGGGGTCTGTCAGTCTCAGGGCCCTGATTTCTCATGGACCCTTCCCCTTTGATACTAGGAGCTGGCCAACCAAAAACTCCCACTGAGTTTTAGTAAGGGGCTAACAGTCTGCTTACATTAAGGGAAAACGTAAAACTAGGAAGATGTAATACTTGGAATAATTTTAGGAAGAGCCTACTACAGTATATCTGCATTAATGTCAAATCACTTTTATAGGGTAATTTGAGGATTCTGTAGTCTTGTTGAGCCCTCTTCTTTGGTATGCTTTAGCTTTACCAGAGATGTAGTAATTTTCTACATCACTTCTACATTTTTCCAATTCAGGGCTTCACAGACTCTTGGATTGCATAGTATATCCAGGGTTTTGCAGAAGATCATTCAGTAAAGGAACAAGGACAGGGCAGGCCCATTGCTCAATGAAGAGGGAGAAACAATAACAGGAAACTTGTAAAGGTGCTTAATGACGTCTTTGTTTTGGTTTCACCAAGAAGTCTGATGATGAAGGAATGCTTAACATAGTGAATGCTAGTGGCACTGCCGTAGGATTAGAAGTTAAAATAAAAAAAGAACAAGTTAAAAATTACTTAGAAAAGCTAGATGTCTTCAAGTCACCAGGACCTGATGAAATGCATCCCAGAATACTCCAGGAGCTGATAGAGGAGGTATCTGAGCCTTTAGCAATCGTCTTTGAAAAGTCATGGAAGTTGGGAGAGATTTCAGAAGACAGGAAAAGGGCAAATATAGTGCCCATCTGTAAAAAGTTAAATTAAAACTACCCAGGAAACTACAGACCTGTCAGTTTAACTTCTGTGCCAAGGAATATAATGGAGCAAGTAATTAAGGAACTCATCTGCAAACATCTGGAAGACAAAAAGGTGAAAAGCACTATGTACTCTTCCCCACTCAGGAACCAGGCTCACTGCTGGCTGCTTCTGGGGCATAGCGCAGTCTGTAGTGCCAGGATAGGGAGGTAGCTACCTTACCACCATCATTGATCACCCTGCAGCAACGAGATCCAGTGCCTAATATTCCACGACCCGGTACTGGGTCGTGACGTCTAGTTTGAAAACCATTGCTTTATGGCCACCGTGGTGTTGTAGCCTCAGCAGCCCAGACAGCAGCTTACTATATAGACCACTGCAGAACATGAGAGACTGTGATTCAGGCTGCTAGAGACACTCTTAACAAAATAAAATACAGGACTATGTAGCACTTTAAAGACTTAACAAGATGGTTTATTAGATGATGAGCTTTCGTGGGCCAGACCCACTTCCTCAGATCAAATAGTGGAAGAAAATAGTCACAGCCATATATACCAAAGGATACAATTAAAAAAAATGAACACACATGAAAAGGACAAATCACATTTCAAGAGACACTCTTAACAAAATAAAATACAGGACTATGTAGCACTTTAAAGACTTAACAAGATGGTTTATTAGATGATGAGCTTTCGTGGGCCAGACCCACTTCCTCAGATCAAATAGTGGAAGAAAATAGTCACAGCCATATATACCAAAGGATACAATTAAAAAAAATGAACACACATGAAAAGGACAAATCACATTTCAGAACAGAAGGAGGATGCGGGGGTGG